GAGAATGTTTGCATCTGTCCTATTGGTAGATGACTGATGGAGAAGCTTTGTCTCTTAATTCCCCTCCTCCTTCAAATGCTACTCCATCATTGAAGTGCCCAGTCTGAAGCCCTTAATATCTCTCTCTCTCTCTCTCTCTCTCTCTCTCACACACACACACACACACACACACACACACACACACAATGAACAAAATGGAGGCAGCTAATACCAGTTTAATTTTCTGTGGAGGACATAAAGCATAAATGAGTGAAAGCACACATGCCTCCGTCCAAATCAATTCCCAAAGAAGAAAAGTCCATGTATACGAACTAATCCTTTAATTTAGGTAATCACTTAATGACCTGAATAATTTAGAAGCAGCAGTTGTGCTATCAGTTCTTGCCAAAGTCAAGACATTTTTGACGGTTTACAATGCCTAGGATTATGCTGATCGTTTTTGATTTACCTTGCTATGGAATAATCTGCCTTTGCCTCCTCCCCTGCCCAGTCCCCAACCATTTGCTCCTTGTAACTGTGAAAATCTTACAGCCACTGATCTTTGCAGACCTCATGATCCTGTTCACCTGTTAACACAAATGCTTCCTTGCTATTTATACCCATTAGTTATCTTGGCAGGGGTGCCAACTTGAATAAAATATTGGAGGGTCCAGATAAGCCCTTCCTCTGCCCCTATCCACCTTAGGCTTCAAGCTTGGGCTTTTTTCACTCACCCTTGGTCACCTCCAACACAGGAGAAGGTTACTAGTAGGCTCTAGCTTGTCTGCCCCCTGTTCATTTCTGTTCCCCATCATCATCATCATCATCATCACCACTGCCACATCATAACCATGAAAACCTTATGGCTATTGATCTTTGCAAAATCTACCATCCTATTCTGCATTCAGGTAGGTAGCCATGTTGATCTGACGCAGTTGAAATAAAAAATAAAAAATTGTCCAGTAGCACCTTAGAGACCAACTAAGTTTGTTCTTGGTATAAGCTTTCGTGTGCATGCACCAGAACAAACTTAGTTGGTCTATAAGGTGCTACAGGACAATTTTTTTAAAAAAAATATTTATACATCCTATTCTGCAGTTCTTAATGAGCACTAACTCTCCCTGAGCTCACTACCTTTCCAGCAACACTAACTTAAGTTCATTCATTCCTAATTTTCTATTGTGCTCATATTTTGTTTGTATGCCACCAAATACATATTCAGATAGTTATTTTCTTTATACAGAGTTTTGGAGGAAATCAGAGACATGGCGTGTAAGCCTGAGCGCATGTGAAACTGATACAGCTCTTGCAAACCATGTACATGAAAAATGAAAACATGTCAGGTAGATATAGATATTGTTGCTTTTCTGACAGTTATAGCTCGATTTATACATTAAGAAACTCGCAGGAGTTTCTAAGTGTTCCATCCTCACCATAACCCTATGAAGTAGATTGTTCTTTTCTCTGAGTGGCAAAGTGGTACAGTTAAGTAATGTTCGGCTTTGGACTTAGTGGTCCGACAGCACCCCCTTTCGATGAGCACATGAACTACTTCAGTTGTGAAGCACACAGTTAACATTTATTTCCTCCATCTCCTCCTCCTCCTCCATGACCACCACCACCAATTCCACACTTTAAAACTGTTTCTACATTCATGATAAATTTAAGCAAGTGAAAAAACAAACAAAAACTGTTTGTCAACCCTGATTTAAAAGAAAGAACAATTATGAGCACCTGAAATTTCACATTTTAAAATCATAGCACTACCATGCCTACAAGAATGAAATGGAGTCTGTTGCCCTGCTGCTAAATACACATAAATGGGAATAAACACTATTTAGTTAAAAAAAAAAAAAAAGAATAAGACATGGTTAGGGGGGGGAGTGTTAAAAATGAACATCTGTAGCCATGCTGCACATGCCTGGTTGGCTGGCTGCCCCCTAACTATAGAATGTTTTTTTCAAAATAAGAAGGAAAATATGTTAGTCTTGGTGGGTTCCAACATGTCCATGCTGACCCAAGTGCTGATGTAGGGCCTGTTTGCCTTTCCTTGCATCATCTGAACTGTCACTGTGGTCTAAACCACAGAGCCTAGGGCTTGCCAATCGGAAGGTCGACGGTTCGAATCCCCGTGACGGGGTGAGCTCCTGTAGCTCGGTCCCAGCTCCTGCCAACCTAGCAGTTCGAAAGCACATCAAAGTGCAAGCAGATAAATAGGTACCGCTCTGGCAGGAAGGTAAACGGCGTTTCCGTGCGCTGCTCTGGTTCGCCAGAAGTGGCTTAGTCATACTGGCCACATGACCCGGAAAAACTGTCTGCGGACAAAGGTGGGCTCCCTTGGCCAGTAAAGTGAGTGCTGCAACCCCAGAGTCATTTGTGACTGGACTTAACTGTCAGGGGTCCTTTACCTTACCTTTACCTAGGGATGCAGGAACCTGGACTTGACATCCAGCCCTTATTAAATCACTGCTTAGAGGAAATGCATTACCAAAAATGAGGACAAAAGAGAACATTGATTTGCATAAAACTGGTACATCTCAGCTTCTCAATAACCTTGTGAAGTAAGCTATACAAATAGAGAGTGATTTTTTTTGCCCCCAACCTGCTGGTGAAGTCCATATGTGAATGGGATTTTCCATATCTAAACTCAGCATGTTGCCCACAAATTTTGCAATGTTTAAAACAGCCCTCTGTCTCTGCTAGATTTGCTTTTCCAAACCAATGGAAGGTTTACTTATTATTATTATTATTATTATTATTATTATTATTTAAATGATTTTTACCTGTAGATTTCACAAAAAGGGGGAGGAAAAAGAACAGTGTAGGAAAAAATCAAAATAAGATGTGCTGATGGTTATTGTATCCATACTGTGAACTGATGATGTTTTTTTGTTAGTGCTGTTTATATATTCTTTTTCTTTCCTTCCTTTTATTGCCTTTATTTATTCGTCTTTTTCTTCCACAAATTGAAGGATTCCCCTCCCATCCATCTTCCCCCCACCTCAAGAAATAAGGAAGATAACAGATGTGAATAAGTTTACAGTGCCCTCCATTTTCATGGGATGGGTAGAACATCTGTTGCTATTTCCTGTTTCTGAACTATGCAATTAAATAAGTTACATGCCCAGTTTTGCACCTCCTAAAGTGTCTCCCCCCTGCTCCAAAACTGACACTTGTCCTTCTGTTCATCACCCTAGCATGCTGCTACTTCTTTGGTAAGAATCACTTATGGCTCTTTGCAGCAAGTCACTGAAAAAGCAAAAATAAAACAATTCAGTGCATGCTTTCAGAGACAGCATTTGTAAACGAAATACTGTACAGTAAAACAGGTTCCAAAATGAGGACATTTCAGACATCTGGCTCTCCATGTGAATAGTATCACCTGCATTGGGACATGCACCTGTGCAGCTGAATGTAACATCTTCTCTTTAAGCTGCAAAATGTCACATGAAGGAAAACTTCCTTCATTTCTAGTATTAATATTTTGGCGTTGTAATGTCCAGCCACCTTTCTTCAAGAGAATGTGATGGTTCTCCCATTGCCCAGAACAAGGTGTTATAGGAATTCTAAGGTCTCATATATAAAAATATATATAAACATTCATAAATGTACAAGGTAAACACATACCTAAGTATATGAGCCACGTGTCTGAAATAGTGCTCTTGTATACCCCATAAGGCAGTGGTATCCAAACTTTTTTTCAAAGAGGGCCAGATTTGATGAAGTGAAGGGCCATGAGGGGCCAACCAAAGTTGTTAACCTTTTTTTAGGATTGAAGTTGTTGAGCTCTCTTTATTATTTTACCCTGGGAAATAAACTGCCGCTGGGCCGCATTAAACTGACCGGTGGGCCAGATTAGGCCCCCGAAACGGACTTTGTACATAAGACTTTGTGTGTGCGGCTGCACTCAAGCACAGCACAATCTGCTGGAGATTTGCTCAGCTGTGTGTTCTGTTGTGTTCTGCGGGGCTTATTCCCTAATTCCCTTATTTTCTTTTGTGCATCTCACTGGCAAGCCACAAGATGGAGCTCTAAGAATCATTGAAGATGGTCAATGTTACTTGAGGAGTTATTATTTGCTCCACAGTGACCATCTGGATCCTGTGGCAACTTATTGCACTTAGAGTAGATATCACCCAAACCTTGTGGAGACCGTTGTAAGAAGAACCTTTGTTTGACCAGTGCTACACAGAGGAAGCACAGCTCCAAGCAGGAATAACACCCTCCCACCAGGGCTGCATCACATGTCCTTGTCATGCAAATGCATAAAGCACCAAGTGGGTTTACCTGGCTTGAGCTGTGCTGCTTCCAGAGGCTGGGAGAGCTACATGGCTGCCCAGCACATAACAGCAACACTGTCACTGTGCATGTGTCTGCTTGCATGCAAGGGGGAGGCAGAGGCTGTTGGCTGCACCCACAACAGCATCAAATGCTGGTGGGAACTGAGGAAGCAATTGCTGCTGTGGGATCTATCAAGGGCAGCCTGTTCTGGGCACCCAATACTCTGGAGCTGGGCTTGTGTCCTTTAGTACATCAATGTGAACCCATCGTCACTTACTAATAAGGGATGGAGGGAATGTTGCCCTTCTAGATTTGTTCTCTAGATCCCCAAAAGTAGCCTCTGTGGCAAAATGCATTCATCATACAAACTTAGAAATGAATCCTGAGCACAGGAATGCAAGGCAGTGATTCGAGCATGAAAGATTCAAGAACATGGCATAAAAATTCTCAAGGTTTTCTGTAGCATAATCAGGATTTGATGTAAGGTTTGATGAGGCCCTAAGCTACTGAAGGTAATGGGGCCCTTTATATGTCCAGCTGTCCTTTGTCAACAACAAATTGTCGCTGTTTTTGTGTGTGTTGAATATATGCTATATGGTAATTTATGGACCTCATAGGTACCTAAAGCCATTTGCACATAACAAAATATGTATTTTATCAAAGTAATTGTTGAACTGAAATACAATTAAGAAGAAGTATATTAATAGTGAAATACAATTAAGAAGAAGTATATAGTTTTTGGGGCCCCAAGAGAGTGGGGCCCTAAGCTATAGCTTGTTTAGCTTATACGTAAATCTGGCACTTTCTGTGACAAAATGCATTCATCATACAAATTTATAAATGAATCCTGAGCACAGGAATGCAAGGCAGTGATTTGAGCATGAAAGATTCAAGAACATGGCATAAAAATTCTCAAGGTTTTCTGTAGCATAATGATTATTGCTTCACAGGGGAAATGAAACTTCTTCATCAATGACAAAACAAGAGAGGAGGAAGATTGATTGATAGATTGATGAGGAGTATAGATTGATGAGGAGTATTTCTCCACAACTGATGCTGGCAGTCAGGATGTAGAATTATCTGGGCTTCATCCAAAGATCATAATTCCTAGAAGGCTTAGCATTTTTCCAGCACTTTTTCCTGAAATGAAATGTAGGTCAGTACAGGGTGCTGAAGCGTAAAAGAAGCAGGAGACAAAAGCACAGAGTACTTTTTGATGAACAAAAGTATTAATAATCTTCCCCAAATGTATGAGATTGCATCAAGGCAGATAAGTGGAAATAATTAATATCTTTGCCTTCTCTTTGTGACTTGGGACACCTGCCTGAACTACTGGAACAGTTGGCCAGCTTTAGTGTGGGCAGACCTGGGTTTTCCTCATAATTTTATAGGCATACTGTGTAAATTGAGAGATTATGCATAAGAATTTGTATATAGAGAGGGCTGTTTGACTTTTGATCTCTACCATAATGTTTTTTACAAACAGACTGTACATAAAGTTTGAAAATTTTGAACCCGTTTGTAATCTTCAACTGGGGGAAAAACAAGCAAGAAAAAATGACAGAATTACCACCAGTGTCTTGTAGCCATTTTTTTCCTCTTGTGAAAATTTGTCGACGCTCTGTTTCAACGTGGTAACAGCAGTTATTGCAAGCTTTGAAGCAGAGTATTTTTCAAGAGCGCTCTTCACATCAGACTCTGATCCATGGAGCATTAGAGACATAATATCTTGAACAACTGCACACTGATAAAAAGAAGCTAGGAAGAAAAGAAAAAATAAAAACCAAACAGATTTTTTTTAAAATGCATGCTTTATTTAAACCCTTTGTGGTGGCTCACCTGAGAATGCACTACCTCTGATATGATGTGCATACCAATTATAACTCACAAATAAGAGTTGTGGTGGGAGAAACACTCCTTCTGCTGACACTACATGAGGGAAGAGTGTAATGCTTACTCGCTCATTGCTATGTTTGCATGCCAGGGACATGAAGCCATGATGAAAGGGTGGCACACTCACTGGAAGTGGTGTATTCAGGAAGGACCAGTCAAACATTAAGCTTCCTCTACGTAGCACTGCCTCCCCCCAGAAAACACAAAAAACACTTTGGCCCAGCTTTCCTGTGAGCTGAGTAACTTCTAAACTGGATCCCATTGAGTATGACACTGGAGCTCACCACAGAATGCAGATGTCACTACTAGAGCCAACATAAACTGGCGGTGCCTCATGTAACTCACTGACTGTCACATTCACAGATCTTTCTGAGCTCCGTCCTGTGAGCTGCCAGGCAGTAGCACAAAAGCAACTAAACACAATTAGTAAACACAATTAGTAGGGAGTAAGCCTCATGAAGCACAATGGGATCTGCTCCTGAGAGAACTTGGGTTGGGTTGTGCTTGAGTGCAGGGCCCTCTCAAGAGTTAGTCCAGGTGAACTCCTTGTCTCCTTGTTCTGGGCACTGAGAGGACCACCCCATTTTCCTGAAGTAAGTAGGTGGGTCATAGTGCTAGAATACTACGACCAGCCTTTTTGAAAACTATTCTTTCTTCTCCCTGAACCCACACACTTCTTTCCTTCACACTCCTTCCACTGTCACAGCTCCTCTGAATCCAGCTGTTCTCCCAGATGCACAAGCAAGCCTTGCTAATTCGCATCAACACAGTCAGAGCCAGTAATTTCAGAGAATCAGAGAATTGGAAGGGAACCTGAGGATCATCTAGTCCAACCCCTGCAATGCAGGAATATGCGGCTGTCCCACGCTCTAACCATCCAGGCTCATAAACTTGCTCCTAGCGGTATCCATAATTGACCCCTTTCCACATATCAGGTGGTTTTCAGCGCTAGCTCTACTCAAAGTAGAACCATTGAAGTTAATGGATAGGATGAATTTAGGTTCCTGAATTTCAATGGGTCTGTGTAGTACTCAATGAATAGAACTCTTTGCATTTGGCCACATGTGTACCTACCTTTGGGCAGGTGGTACTGTTTGCCTGGAGAGCCCGATGCCTGAAGGGTCCTGGTTTTGGAGTTCATTTCACTGAGGCTCTCTGGCACTTTGTTTACAAATGTTGCTTCTGAAGACACTACACTGAATTGTTCTATTTTTGCTCCTTCAGTTTGTTGAGGAAATGAAGGCCATTAGTAATGCTTACCAGAGGAACAGCAAAATGCCAGGGTGATGAGCAGAAGGACAAGCGCTGGCTTCATGGTGGCAAAGAACGCTCTGAATAGGGTTACAATAAGCAGCAAGCTGTTTGGGATCCTGGACTGCACAGCTCGGGTATGTATGTATGTATATATACACACACACACACACACACACACACACACACATATACATACACCTGGTAGCAAGACCGGCTCCGCCCACAAAATGACAAATGAGGAAACATGACCTTATTCACCTTGTTCTTCTCCTTATTTCCTGAGGGAGAGAAAAGATGGGCGGTCTGATGTCTCTTGAGGGAGGGGGGGAATGAAATCTGAAGGAGACGGGGCTGCTTCAAACATTGTAAAATTAATAGACAATGTGTAGGTCACCGTGGCATGCCCTGTAAGGCATTTCCTTGCAAAATAAGGAAAGATTTCCCTCCCCCCGCCCAGCCCAAGGCAAGCGCATCTCCCTGTGGACTCAGGTGCAGAATATAAATGGGGTTTTAAAATGCAAGAGGGCAAAAATGGTGTTATGAAGTGTTTAATCTGAATGTGGAAAATCCCTGCTCACATATGGAGCTCTCTGGTAGCACTGCTTGTTTCTATTTGAAAGACTGCCAGAGGACAGTCTGCTGTTTGAAGGGTTTCCCAGTTTAAAGATAAAACCCACAGAAGCCATAGAAGAGAAAGAAGGAGTTTTGAAGCACCTGTCAACAGTTATTTATCCATTTATTTTATGTTGTTGTTGTTGCTGTTGCTGTTACAATACATTTATGAATCACCTTCTAGACCACCATCTCAAGGCAATTTACACATTAAAAAACCCAGTTAAAAGCACAAAAGAAAATACATTTAAAACAAAACTAAAACCTTAACATAGTGGACACTCGTGGTAAGGAGCCATTTCTCCAGCTGGGAAAACTCCCTTTTCCTCCCAGGAACTCAAGACAGCACACATGTTTCTCCCCATCTGCATTTATTCTCACAACAACCCTGTGCGGTAGGTTAAGCCGAGAAACAGTGACTGGACCAAGATCACACAGTGAGCTTTATAGCTCAGTGAGGTTTTCTGACCCAGCTCCCCCAGGTCCTAGTCCAACACTTTAACCACTAGAGCACACTGCGAGCACACAGCACTTGTAGAGCAAGCACACCCATCACCTGGTTAGTGTCTAACCCCTAGGGTGGAGTGCATTATATTTCCCATTAAATAATTGCATTTATTTCTAAATGTATATCTATACATATAAATGACCATGTGCAAATTTTGTGTGTCTTATTTTGGCCTTCTGATGCCTTTTCTCTTCTTTGGCTATGCCTACGTGGCCATTTATTCACTGGATAGTCCTGAGAAAACAACTCTCTCTTTGCATAGCCTGCCTGCCTGGTTTAGGAGGCTGGAATGTTAACTGTGTATTTCTTGGTGGAAGGAGAAAATGTGCACGTAAAGAATGAAATGAAATATGTCACTTTCGCAAGTTAAATTTAATGTGCATTCTGTGCAGCTGAGGAACCTGATTCAGATGCCCTTAGTTTTGCACTTAGGTGTCTTTCATTAGTTTCCCCTCCATAATTCTCTTTAAGTGTAGTAACATTCTAAATGTGTACTTCATTATGTGCATATACAAATGAAATCCAAAGACAAATGCATCTCAATATGTGCAATTTTGAAGTTGAATGAGTGATGTTGACAATATTGCTGGATCAGGCAGCGTTTGTGTTAGGAGCTGCACAACAGGACTGCAAACTTTGCAGATCAGTGGCTGTAACTTTTTCAATGTTACAAAGAGCACATGCAGGTAGGGGAATGGGATGGAAAGAGGTAGGTTATTCCACAAAGCAGTTAATTTGCCCTGTATCCAAATAATCAGTATAGCTTAGGGTTTTATAGAGTTTCTGAATACAGTGGTACCTCGGGTTAAGTACTTAATTCATTCCGGAGGTCCGTTCTTAACCTGAAACTATTCTTAACCTGAAGCACCACTTTAGCTAATGGGGCCTCATGCTGCTGCTGCGCCGCCGGAGCATGATTTCTGTTCTTATCCTGAAGCAAAGTTCTTAACCTGAAGCACTATTTCTGGGTTAGCGGAGTCTGTAACCTGAAGCGTATGTAACCTGAGGTACCACTGTACATGGCTAGAATTGCTAACACAAATGCTGCTTCTAAATCATGTAGGTTATTAAAAGATTTGTATGTATATTTTTTCCTGTTGATTTGTAGTCAATATTGTTTCTAGAATTCCATCTCCAGGGAAGTTTATCTGGGGCCTTCTGCATTGTTATTTTGTAGGTACCACGTTAATATACATTTTATTTTCTCAGGCATTTTTTTTTAATTTTCTTTTACATATGATAGAAATGGAAAAACTGTTTTAAACACGGAAACTAAATTATCCATTCTGCTGAATCTGGGAAATTCTTTTATTTTAACAACTTTGTACTACATTCAGTAAATTTGAAGGGCTGGATAAAAGCAAGTTGAAAAACCTGTCATCTGTCACCCAGGGCAAAACATGCTGTTCCATATCAACTGTTTGTCTAGCTCATGTCTAGACCATCCCAATTTGGGGACTGTGGGTGTGTTTCTTCAAAGCCTCCCTTCAGCCATTTCTCTAATCCCAACCATCCTCTCCAGAAACAGCTGTTCTTTTGTGGCTGGGAAGAGTTTAAAGGCCACATGGACCCTCTACGGCCACATGGTATGACCCCTCTACGAGATCACCACAAGGCACTTAACCAATAGGAATGCATCTTCAAGGTCTCCATTCTGAGTCAGGCTAAGCTCCATTTTGTCACGTGTGTAAGCCTTGTGTGGAGTTTCTGGGACCTTGTGCAATCCATCAGTCTCCCTCCACCTGCTGCTGAGAGCTTTGGAATATAGGGACGTGCCCTGAATCAGGCCGTAAAGGAACCTCTCTACCTTAAAGAAATGGTGGGAGAAGCATGGGGTGCTGATCGTGTGGGATGCTGAGTACAGTGTTAAAGTCCCGTTTCGCTTTAAAAACCATGTGCACCTTTCTTCATCTTGGGGGATAGATAGCTGTGTTTTCACTCTCCCCAGCACCATCTAAGCAGAACCAGAAAAACACTTTGCTCTTCTCTTTCTCCAATGTTGCAATATGAGTGTGGGGGGGACAAGACCCTTAAAAACAAAAAAGTCATCTGCTAGCCTGCTTGTCTCGTTTTGCAATGCAGTATCTATACATTTAAAGGTTTTCTGGTATTTTCATAGATGCATAGTTCAGTTTATCTATTCTGAACATCTTTAAATGAATTTTTCTCAGGCAATTAAGTGGTTGCCAAAGTACAGGCATGCCTCGTTGTATTGCAAATCACAGATATTGCTCCTTACGAGGATGGGGGTGCAACTGCAGGCAGCCCAGCCACATCCAAGGTAAGGAAATCCCCCCCCCCCTGCACCACCACTGCCCCTTTTCTGGCCACAGTAGAGGAGTGGGTTGGTGCTGGAGCTGATTTCCCCCTCCCACCTCTGCAGCCAGGAGGGCCTGGTACAGTGGTACCTCGGGTTACATACACTTCAGGTTACAGACTCCGCTAACCCAGAAATAGTACGAACTTTACTTCAGGATGAGAACAGAAATCGTGCGGTGGCAGCAAGCGGCCCCATTAGCTAAAGTGGTACCTCAGGTTAAGAACAGTTTCAGGTTAAGAACAGACCTCCGGAATGAATTAAATTCTTAATCAGAGGTACCACTAGTGTAAACATGCCTTTTGGATGCACTGGGAAACAAAAAAAAGTGTGACTATCTTTATTACAACATTCACTTTGTTGTGGTAGTCTGGAACTGAACCCACAATATCTCTGAGGCAGAGGCGCCAACTTGGGCCCCAGTTTGTGGGTGCCCAGTGGTGTGCTCAACATAATGTCATGGCATCACTTTGCACATGCGCGCACATGCATTACTCAGTCTCCGCTTGCAGAGAACACAACAAAAGTGTTTGTTTTTATTAATTCCTTCCATGCAGCTCAAAGTGACATATTTTGTTCTCCTCCCCGTTGACCCTCACAATGGCCCTGGAAGGTAGGTTTGTCTGAGCTGCAGCAACTGATTCAAGGATAGCCAGTCAGCCTTTTCGATTGAGCAGGGACTTGAACACCAGCCAAATCAGGGGTCCCCATCCTGCAGCCCATGGGCCAGAAGCAGCCCACGGAGGCTGTTTAACCAGCCCACGAGCTGCCCCCGAACCGAGCCGCCCGCTTGGCAAGTCCCCACATGCTGCACTAAACTGGCGCAGGGACTCTCTTCTGCGGCACCAGAAATCGCTTCTGCACATGCCCAGACGCCGGAAATCGCTTCTGTGCAGGCACGATTTTAGGCATCTGGGCATACGCAGAAGCTATTTCTGGCACCGTGGACATACGCAGACGGAGGATCTCCACAGGAGTGATCCGGCCCATGCCTGGTAAGCCTTGCCAACCCCTGAGCTAAGTATATAAGAACCATTGTGGGATCATATCATACAACAGACAATGCTGCTGAATGCATTGTCGTCTTCTTCTTCTTCTTCTTCTTCTTCTTCTTCTTCTTCTTCTTCTTCTTCTTCTTCTTCTTCTTCTTCTTCAAAATGCATCTATTTTTATCCTGAGGTACTTCAATGGAATAATTCAGAGGCTTCATACCTGAGCAGTACAAAATTGATAATATCGGCTGCTTCAACACGAGAACCTTTTACTAATGCTGAGGCACTATTTTTCCACAATTAGCTGCATGTGGAATATAAAATATAGCTAGAAGGGAAAGTATAGTGTTGCATTAATCAGCCGATGGCCAGGATCCTGTTTCATAGCGTCAGCAGAAAGTCTCTGATCTGACTCTTGCGTAGAAATAAATCCTCTTCACCACAGTAAATAAGTTTTTTTAAAAAAAAAGCTTTACTTGCAGAACTTGGTTTCTAAACATTTAGCTACAGACAATAACTGTTACAAAGCAACAAAATGATACGTTGCATGTTAGCAATGGGTTTCAGTCTTTTAAATTCCAGCAAATCTCTCCCTCTGACTCCGGAGTGAGTGCATGCTATTTAGAAACAAAAACAGCCAAAGAAGTCTTGTAAACTGCCATGCCATATTGAGGGAGGAGTCAGTGTTGCTGACTGGCTCCTATATATTTCTTTCGGCTGCATGTCTGAGGTTCCGAAGAAAGT